TTAAAGACGTGAATCACGTGATTTATTTTTCTTTTAAAAAATGTGTGAACTGCAGGACAGGTCTCTAATTTTTTAGAATCGTTCACATTGGTCCAACTATGTAATAATTGTTCTAATTTAGTTCCAATCATATTCATATGGTCTAATGGGTTCATCTATCATTTTTTTCATGGATTAGAACATAAGTGTCTGCACATATATACACACATACGTTTGAGTGTTATATAAAAGTAATTATTTTTTCCTTTTTCAAATTTCTCAAGATAATTTAAAAATATTAACTCTAATTTGCTAGTATATCTTCCAAAGACAACATCAATCATAATGCCACTAATACCATGCACGTTTATGGATTGTACTCTGTTATGATGGATTCAACAATGGTAATGGCAAAAATTATTTACTTGATGATAACAAATATAGAATTTAAAAGAGTACAATCCACTACATTGGCATAAATCTCTTAAACCATGGTCAAACATAATGTTTATCCAAGAGCTATATGAGCCATAATAAGGTGAAAAGACTAAAATGACCATATATATACATATATTTTTAATTTTAGTAGTCAAAGTGTTCTCAATTAATTTCTGCACATCTCAAAACTAATTTTTCTTTAAGCCGGTCAAACATAAGTTATTTACGCTGAGAGTAGAAAATTCACGAAGAATTATTTTCTCATTGACCTTTAAAAAAAATTAAATCTTAATTAATAAGGTGAGGTATAAACCCACTTATCAAATAAATCATAACTCTTTGGATCTAAAATGACCATATGCACACTTTTACATTCTCCCAAAATTTTGTGCAAAAACTAGTGGAGAAGGTTTGATTCTCCATGATGGAGCCGATAGAGGAGATTGGATGAGGTGATTGGTGAGTCTGAGTATCTCCATGGAGCTTGGAGGTTGGGCATTGTGGCCCTTGAGCTTGGGCTTGCTCGTAACCTGCTTATTCTCCCTTTAGATCTGAAGAATGCCTCTGAAATCTCAAAGAAATGTTTATGCTAAAGTTCAGAAGGATATGAACTATCCTGGGTGAACTTTAAACAAATTGATGAACTGCCAAGAATATGATGATAACAACAACTAAAGTAAGATACTCCAGCTTAAAACATTCTAAGGTCACATAGTGAGAGCAAAGACTATTTAGCCAAAACC